GATGAAGGCTGCTGTCTGGAGAGGTTCTGTGGCCCCACTTTCCACCCCTCTCCTGGATGGAAGTGCCTCCCTTCCACCCCTTCCTTGTTCTCTTGGTCAGCATTCTGAACTGCCCCTTGGGGCTGCCCAGCGTCCTAATTCATCTTATGTAAAGCTCACTTTAAGAGAAAGCTCCTTCCCCATTTCTTTGTCTCTATTCCCACGAGGTGTGCATCTCCATGTTCCCTCTCCTTCTCTCTCTCTCTCTCTCCTTTCCCTTTCTCCTTCCCTCCCTCCCCTTCTCCTTTTCACGTGGCTGCCCTGTCTGCATGATGTGAGCAACTTTCCACCGCTCTACGCCACAGTCCACCACTGTGTCTGCATGGCGCGCCTCCCTCACCTACCGGGGCACCTTGGCCCAACCCGCCAAGGCCTTCTCTCTCTCCCTCATTTTCAACATAATACAGCTCTTCTCCAGGATTTGAAGGAAAGCCTCTCCTTGTCCCTGGCGGCGTCTAGATTCTCCCACATCCTATTGTTTCTATATACTCCTCTCCCCAAAACTCCAGGCCCCGTCATGGGCTTGAGACCCCTTATCTTAACCAACCCTGCTGAAGGGGGACTTCAGCTTCCTGTGTGCATCTCCCACCTGGGGTGGGTAAGAGGTCCTTGTGCGGAGAGCTAAGCACTGGAGGAGCCAGGAGAGTCAAACATGAAAGTTCCGTCTTCTGACAGCATTCTGAGTCACACAGGATGGATGAAGAAAGAGAGACACTCCGGAATGCAATCAAAACTTAAAGGAGCAAGGAGGTCCAGCCTTGACAGACTGAACCGAAAGCAACCTTTTAGAAGCATACTTATTGATTGTCACACAGAAGTTAATTTCTAAAAAGAGGCAAGTTCCTCACACCGGGGCCCCTGATTTTCTGTGTGTTTCTTGAAGGATCACGTTACCTAGGCAGTCTTGGCCTCTGTTGTGAAGGGTTGGCAGTGCTCAATAGTACAAGATTTCCCAGTTTGCCCAGAACATCTCATGACTAAATCACGCAAAGCTGATTCTGTAAAGCTCCTTCAGAAAAAAAAAAAACAGCTCACAGAAAACAACTGCTGTTTACCACAACGGTTTCTTCAAAGCCTAAGTACATCTAAAAACAGTTGCTTCATTCTGTTGTTTATACCAGCTACGAAGACCTTCCTATATTCCCTCTACACTCTTCAAAGGAAGGAGACCTTTTTCCTGTCTTCTTGGAATGCTGGGAAAGGATGTAGTTTACATCCTGGTGATCTTCGCTACTTAGGGGGATTCACCCAAGTCCCAGAAAATTATGATTTTTTTTTTAAAATCTCAGACTCCCCTCCCCCACCCCACCCCCGGCAAATCTTGAGCATTGGTCCTTAGTCCATAGAACCAACCTCATGAGAGATGTAACCTGTGCTTTACAACAGCCGAAGTGACTTCTGAGTTATCTTAGGGCGAGGACAATGTTGACTCCCACAGGCATTATGTTTACATCAGTCAGCCTCCCTAGATCTTCGTATCTTGAGCATCTTTTTCTGAGTCAACAGAACCCATCCTTATGGAAGAAGCCATAGGTACTTTGTAAATGATCTCAACGTAAACATGCCTTAAGTTCGTTGTACACTTGGGACTGAGTTAATTGTCATCAGGAAAGTTTCTTCCCACAATTGTACTGTGCTTAAATATGGCTAAAATAAACCATCTGGTGCCAGACTCCAGAAGTTTGGTCCGGAACTGCTAAGTCAGGCTGAATTGAGTTTCATTGTTACCTGGACTGCTTCTCTGCCAGCTGTGATGCTTGCAGGGATGCCCGCACCCAATCTGATGCTTTCTAATTTATGACACTGTGGACAGAAGCCCCTGCTATCAGGGCTGCCGTTTTCTAGAAGGGAGGGAGGGGGCTTCATGGTCTCTGCGGGCTCCTCAGTCCTCCCTCCGTGGAGAAGAGCTTCAGCCCTGCTCCCCAGCTCCATGCTCTGCCGTCATTTCTGATGTCTTCCTCCCTCTGACCTCAGCCTCCTCCCAGGCAGTAGCACCTTCCAGAATCACAGAGACTGTGGGTGGCTCTGTGTCCAAGGCCCTGCTCGGTCCCCTGCCCTCTCAGGCTGCCTCCCATCCCTCGTCCCTCCTCCCTCTCTGTTTCATCCTCCACACCACACAGTGAGCAGCGAGGCTGGGGAGGGTCTGTGCCCTGAGAGAACAGCAGCTCACCCCAGGGATGACTCTGCTGGTCCTGGCCTGGGGCTGTCAGAACCAGGGGGACCCACTGGCCTCTCTGTGTGATCTTTGTGACATAAAAATCCCTATTTGAAGCCCAGCGGTGGTGGGGCACACCTTTAATCCCAGCACTCGGGAGACAGAGCCAGGTGGATGTCTGTGAGTTTGAGGCCAGTCTGGGCTACAGAGCGAGATCCAGGACAGGCTCCAAGGCTACACAGAGAAACCCTGTCTAGAAAAAAAAAAAAAGAATAAAAAATAAAAATAAAAAAAATTAAAAATAAATCCCTATTTATCTGAGGTGCCTTGAAGGTAGAATTTACACCCAACATGCAGAGCTATCTCCCAGGGCTAGGAAGGGATCAAATAGGAGTTGACTGTGTAAGGGAACTTATCTATGATCACTGATGTCACCAGAGTTCACTTCCAGGACAGGTGCCCAGGAGCAGGTGTGTCAGGAGCGTGACATCCTGTGTGTGCAGGAAGAAGTGACCTGTGTCCTGGAAAGAGGATGTGGGTCCATCTTCCTGTGGAAGGATCCAGAGAGGCCTTGAGCTTCCTGTGTGGCTGGGCAGTGCCTGGGTCTTTAATAAAAGTCTACACTGGGCTAAAGACGCTGTTCAGCAGGCAGAGGGATGCCTCGTATGTCCTGGGTCAGACCCCAGCAGCACATAGTCCAGGAGTGCCAGCACCTCTCTGTCACCCTAGCCCTGGGGAGCTGGAGGCAGGAGGGCCAGAGGTTCAAGGTCATCGTCAGCCACAGATGATGCCAGGCCGGAGTGGGCAACACCAGGGTGGGTCTCAAAGAGCATTCTTCTGTTTTTGTTTTGAGACATGATATCTCTGTGTAGACTTAACGGTCCCAGAACTCTCTCTGTAGACCAGGCTGACCTCGAACTCTCAGAGATCTGCCTAAAGACGTGCACCACCACTGTCAATCCTCTACATTTAGTTTTGCATGTGTGTAGTTTCTGTACTTAGGAGGCTGAGGCAGGAGGATTTGTTTGTTAGGGACTAGTATGATGGGAATATATAATGACTCCAAAACTTACTAGGCTCAACCAACTGTAAGAAGTAAATGTAAGTTAATAAATATGAATGAATTATTAATTCAATGGTAAACCAAAAGGATATTTGGGATTAAATCTCATGGCAGCCAGAAGAGAAAATTCTTGTCCACTCACTAACTGCTGTCCTTTCCGATTCTACCTTCAGATGTCCGTCAGGCTGAGTCAGATGTCCCCTCTAGGCTCCCACAGACCCCTGGCTACATGGACTCTTTCCTGTGTTTTAGTGAGTTCTCTCTCAAGGCCCAAGGGTGGAGCTGGGACTCACAGTCACCTCCGTGTCCCGACCACAGGAGCACAAGGGAGGGACTCAGGAAGTTGTGGGGCTCTTTGATTTCTTTGTTTGTGCGTTGGGGGTGAAAGTACCTTTGGAAAGGGCATTCCCTGCTCTGCAACTCCTTCTGGGGCTTAGTGTTCGGTCCCAAAGAAGTTTAGGACAAATGGTTAGCTGTGGGGCCTCTCTAACACACGAAAGCCCATAGACACCAGGAGATTGGTTCCTCTCAGCGTGTCTCGCCCTCACCCCCAACCCTAAACCTCTCCAGTCCCTGAGCTTGGATGCCCTCTCCCAGCTTCTGATTCCTCTAAAGCCCAGCCATTTGACCACCCTTTGTCTTGGCTCTCTGGTCCTCTTGGTTCCCTTGGCCCTCTCTCCTTTCTCTCCAGTCCCCCCCCCCCCCTCTCCTCTCATGGCCTAGTTCAAGCTACTGACCATGCTCAATCTACTACTTCCTCTCCCTGCTCTAGACCCTTCCAGATGCCTCTGGCTGTGCTCTCCCTCGTATCTACAGTAAAAAACCTCTCCTCCATCACACCTAGGAATGGTCATGTCCTTGCTTTTGTTCACTTAAGATGGCAAACGGTAACTAAGAAAGCCAGAGCCAGCAAGCAGGCTTCTTTGGGGCGGCCATCTCCCCGGCCTCATCTGACCCTCACACCTGGCCTGCACAGCTAGACGTCCCATCAACCAGAGTCCTAGGGACAGGTGGGGCTTGAAGTCTGGACGACCACCATGCTGTGGGTTTGCACCCCACCCCAACCTGCGGTGGCATCAGCTGCTGTCACCGCCAGCCAATGCCAGGTGTGTCTCATTTCCACTCTAGAGTCTCTTGAGTTGCGTAGCAACACTCCCCCACTTTAAAGGTCCCCGCCACCCCAGATCATTCTGTCTTGTTTGTGCTCTCTGTCCGTCTGTCTCTGTATCTCTGTCTCAGGTGTCACCATTCTGAACAGCCTTTTGAACCCCAACCCCCAACCCCCAACCCCCGCCGCCGCCGCTCCCAATAAACCTCTTGCATTAGATCTGTTGCATGGCATGCTCTCTTTTTTTTTTTTTTTTTTTTTTTTGGTTTTTCGAGACAGGGTTTCTCTGTGTAGCTTTGCGCCTTTCCTGGAACTCACTTGGTAGTCCAGGCTGGCCTCGAACTCATAGAGATCCGCCTGGCTCTGCCTCCCGAGTGCTGGGATTAAAGGCGTGCGCCACCACCGCCCGGCCGATGGCATGCTCTCTGAGCAGCAGCACACCTTGGCCCCCCGCCATAGGTATCTTTTCCACCACTTTATCCTAACACACGAAAGAGATGCAAAGGCAGGAAGAAAAAAGAAAAAACCCAAAAATTTGGCAAAGAATGTTGGGGCACTGGGTCATTTTCCCTCTCCTGTGTCAAAGGCGGTCTCCAGAAAACAAACAAAAATAATGGCTCTCTGAGACAGATGACATGGGGAAGGAGGAAGCCGGAAAGCACAGGCCACAGCAAGAAGAGGGGCTGACACAGAGCACGGCCTTGGGCAGAGACCCTGCTCACAGCCCAGGTGACTCTGGAGATGCCCCTGGGCTAAGGACAGTGGAAATAAGAGGCAAGAACACCAGCAGGGTTGACACGGGACAGCACCCTGGGGAGCAGAGACCATGGAGTCCCCTTCTCTACTTCTCTGCAAAGGGCTCCTGCTCACAGGTGAGACCAGCCCCGGAGAGCTGTGGGGAGGGCGCTCTCAGGAAGGGAGCCTGGGAGGAGACTCTCTTTCAGCTTCAGCCTGAGTGGAGAGGACACATGGAGAGACAGAGGCTGCTCAGCTGGAAGCTTCCAGGGACCGGGGAGTGTTAGGAGGGGAGGAAAGGCCACATCATTCTTTATTGGAAGTTAGTCACAGGGGTCCTGACAGGGGTGGCCATGGTAATGGGGTGTGCTTCCCACCAGAGATTTACCAGTGAGGGGTACATAAGAGGACTAGAAATATTCTGGGTCAGGTCCAGGCTCTTGGGTTTGTAGCTCATCATGGGCTCCGGAATGGGGGTCAGGGCCTTGATGCTGTGCTGTGGGGGGTGTTTGGAGTTTCCAGGGAAAATCACTTTGTGGAGGGAGTGCAGGGGACAGAGCTGTGCTGAGGGAGACCTTGGTGGGTTGGGGCTTTTAAAACAGACTGGGCAATGAGGTGGGAGGATGATGGAGAAGGGCCTGGAACTCTACACAGGACATGGAAGCCTCCTCTGTGTGAGGAGAAGGAGCTGGCATTACAGGCAGAGGAAATGTTGGGACCATGGAGGAGACAGCCCTGGAGAGATTCTCTTCATGGGAAAAGAGCTGAGATGCCTGAGATGCGATACAGGAACTGACCAAGATCTGTTTTTGAGGCCGCAGGTTTTAGGCAGTGCTAGAGAGGATGGATGTGGTATGGTGTGGCAGAGAAGCTACTGGAAAAGACAAGGGAGCATGCTCTAAGGAGGTTGGGGAAGGGAGAGGGGGTTGTCACTGTGGGGAAGTTCAGAATCCAGGGCGGGAGGTGTGGAGGAAGGGTACCTCAGGTGCCTTCACTGGGTGAGCAGGGGATGTGCCAGTGAGGTTCCAGGTCACACATTTCTAGGTGTCTGCCACTCCCAGGAATTGAGACATCTAGGAAGCAGATGATTTTACAAACTGAAACAGGCTGTTTCTCTCTTCATACAGCTTCAGGGGACCCCAGAATCTCCTGGAAGGGCAGCTGTGGGAGACAGGGAGTTAGTTATTTACTATCCCCTGGGAATTAAAATTTTCCAGAAGTCTAGAAAACCCACAGTCTAGTTTACAGACTCAATCCCAGGTCCTTGCCCGCTGGCATTTGTAAAATGGTTGGGGTAGATATTCTGATTAACCACTAACTCAAAGCTAGCAGTACATCCGCGCGCGCGCGCGCGCGCGCGCGCACACACACACACACACACACACACACTCACAAATGCACAGGCAGGCGGTGGGGGAGAGGATGAAAATACAGATTATGGGAGAGGAGCAGTCTGACTCATCTGGACACTGACTCATCTGGCTTCTACAACCTGGACAGGGAGGAGGGAATTAGCTGACAGAAGTTCTCATTTACCTCCACTCCATGGTCCCTGTCTCTGCCCTTTCTCCTTCATTCTGTGTCTTCTAACAGCAAAATAGCAAAGGAAGCTGTTATGGCTTGTTTTAAGACATAAGATAAAAACAAAGAAAGACCTCACGCTCTGTTTAAAATCCCATGTGCAACAAATGCTTTTCCTTAGTAGGCGACACTCATAAGGACTTTGGGCAGCTGCCCTGGCCCATGCTTATTCCTACATGAAAGTGTCTTTACTGCTCAAGCAGGTCCTCAGCCTCTTTTTTGCAGCCAGGAATTCTGATTTGGTCTGAATCAGGAAAGCTCAGAATCCACCGTTTTATAAGCTGACTGCTCCCTGTGCATTAGACTTCGTGAGATTTTCTCTCAAACACACAAGTAAACATTAAAAAAATCAATTTGAGGTATTAAAAATTACCATTAGCTTGCTGGGTGGTGGCGGCATGTGCCTTTAATCCCAGCACTCAAGAGACAGAGGTGGGCAGATCTCTGAGTTTGAGGCCAGCCTGGTCCACAAGAGCGAGTTCCAGGACAGCCAGGGCTACCCAGAGAAACCCTGTCTCAAAAAAACAAACAAACAAAACCCTGTCATTAGCTCTAACTAAGAATGTGGTAAATAAACCCATGGACACCAGGTCTCTGGACACATTCATTCATTCATTCATTCATTCATTCACTCACAGGCATCTGAGCCTGTTCCCAGCATGAGGCCTCCCCAGAAGAGCAGTCCAAACCCTGTCTTCACAAAGCCCTGGATCTAGTAGGCTGGTAGCAGCCAGGGCAGCTAGAAGGTATGGTCAGGAGTTGACTGCAAACACAGAGGGAACAGAGCAAGAAAATGGGAAGGGATGACCCAGGGTCTCTTGAGGAGGAGGTCAGGGAAGGCCTCCCCAACTCCAAATATACTCGAGTGTGAGCAGAGACCTGAGGGCAATGAGCAGGGAGCCATAGACACTAGAGGAGAGAGTTCTATGCAGAGGACCCAGCTCCAGGGGCACCGGAGAACGGGCTTCCTGTTGCTTTCCTACATCACCTGTGGCACACCCACAAGCACACCCACATGCACACCCACACCCACACCCACACCCACACCCACACACACACACACACACACACACACACGCACGCACGCACGCACGAGCGCACACACACACACATCTACATGCACACACCCAGGCTGAGAGACGCTTCCTTCCCCTTAGGAGGCTGCACTCACCTGCTCAGGACACAGTGGGCCCAATAATGATGGGTGTTTCTCTCTTCTAGCCTCACTTTTAACCTGCTGGAACTCACCCGCTGTGGTGGCGGCGCTAAGATCTACCAAAGAAATGCGGTTTTCTGCGGCTGAAGGGGGGAGGGTTCTTCTCTCTGTTCCTGTTCAGGCAGAGAACCTTCTCTCCTTTCACTGGTACAAAGGAAAAGAAGAAGACCAAGGTTTTACAATTGCCCGTTATGAGAAGGACACAGATTTACTTAAACTTGGGAATGCAACCAGCGGCAGGGAAGAGGTATATAAGGACGGATCCATGATGCTCCAGGACGTCACCCAGGAAGACACGGGAATCTACACCCTAGAAATCTTTGGAGCACATGATCATATTGAAATAACACATGTCTACCTCCAAGTGTACAGTAAGTGACTCTCTGTGACCTGTGGGTGCGGGGTGGGGATCATTCCACTTAACACACAGGAGCGTCGGGGCTGCCCTGTGCCTACCTCCTCTCTGCCTTGGGTCCCCTCATTGGGGTTTGAACATTTAGTGCAGGACACACATGGGGGAGTTAAACCTCAACAGATCAAAATCCATCACCCAAATCCGTCCTGCAGAGGGGAGGATGTGCAGCAGGTAACTCAGCTAAGGACATTAGCCTCGGGCAAGACTCTTAGAACTGTCATTATGAACATGACCCAGAGAAGGACCCTGAGAGACTCTACAAGAGATCTGCTTTGCCCTCCACTGAACCTCTGTCCCCTCTCCCCTCTCTAGCTACACAGTTCTGTCTCCTCTGTTCCTGCCTCAGCCTTCACTCTCCGCTCTCTCACCAAACATTCCATAATCAATGCCTTGTCTCTAGAAAAAATGCCTTGACATTTCTAGGTAGAGCTTTCATATCCAGCTGAATCTCTATAATACATTCTTGCGGCCCACAAGATGTCAGGTCCTTATTTAAGATTAACTCACAGACTTGGCAATGATCACTCACCGGGTGTCCTGTGATAGGGAAACAGAGACCCAGGAAACCGAGTGGCTGAATCAGGGTCACACAGGCCGTGGGTGGCAGATCTCAAGCACAAGATGTCTGGCTGTAGGCTGGACCCCGAACTCCCCCACCGAAACGGCCTTATTAGGTGCCCGTGGAGCCGGGAGGGACTCTCCGTCACTGAATCTCTCACTTGGTCTCTTCTGTTTCTACACAGAGATTGTGACGAAGCCCTACCTCCAAGTCAACCACACTAGGGTCGGGAGACGAAGGAGCGCTACGATTCTCACCTGCGTGTCACCTGACACTGGAGTTGACGTCAACTGGTTCTTCAACTACAAGCCCCTCAATCTAACGGAGAGAACCACCCTGTCACCTGAAGAGCACAAGCTCATCATCAGTCCCGTCTGGAGGGCAGATACAGGGATCTACCAGTGTGAGGTCTCCAACTTCTTCAGCTCCAGGAAGTCTGGCCCACTGTTCCTTGTGTTGGCTTATGGCTAAGGCTGTTCCCTTCCTGCTTAGTTAGGGTTTCCATTGCTGTGAAGAGACACCATGGCCACAGCAACTCTTACAAAGGAAAACATTTAATTGAGGTGGCAGCTTACAGTTTCAGAGGTTTAGTCCATTATCATCACCGTGGGGAACATGGCAGCTGGGAGTATAGTAGTAGCCTGCAGGCAGACACGATGCTGGAGAAGAAGCTGAGATTCTTGCAGCTTGACCCACAGGCAACAGGAAATGATCTAGACACAGGGTGTGGCATGAGCATGTATGAGAGACCTCAAAGCCTATCTCCACAGTGACACACTTCCTCCAACAATGCCATACCTACTCCAACAAAGCCACACTTCTTAATAGTGTCACTCCCTGTGAGCTCATGGGGGTCAATTATATTCAAACTACCACAACATACATATATGTGTGTAAAATTACATATATACATATATATACATACAGGGACACACACATATATTATACATATGTACTATATAATACATTTTATCAAGCATGGAATTCTTGTTATTCTGAAGCATGCATAGCAGTGTCTCAAATTTTACTTCTAAGTTTTTAGTAATTTTAATCTATTACATTATAAAGTTAATCTCATTAAAAGAAAATATTATTAATCCTTTGTCAAAAGCCAACTTTAAATGGAATTGACTTTTTGATACTGTTAATTTTCATTCTCCCTTTATTCCCTCTTTCACGGGCTGGCAGGCAGGGGACGTTCTTTATTTTCCTTCAGTGATGGGCGGGTCTCATGCTATTGCTTTAAGGATCAAGAATCAAGGGCCTCTTTGGCAGAAATCTGCACATGGGTTGTCGGTTGCACAGGTCTTAGCTGCCATTGTGAGCACCGTTAGCGACAGACTTGAAGGCAGGCAGCCGGGTGGACCTCTGACAAACCACACAAACTTTAACTAATGCCCCTCCTGACTCTAAGCCTCAATTTTCATCCTAAAATGGAAATGATTTTCTCATGACAGACGCAGGTGATAAATTCCCTGAAGGAACAAATCCAAGTTCATCATGCTGAACGCCTTTCCCCAGCACAGCCCAGGGTGAAACCTCTTCACATTCATGCTTCGCCTTTCCCTCCTTGAGAGCCGGCCCGGCCTCTCCGCTGGGGCCACGACTTACATGGAGGTTGGAGTTGTGGCTGGGGTGGCCGTGACAGCGTGGCGGCCATATTTCTTACATGGAGGCCATATTTCTTACATACCGAGAAGCCTGGTGGATATGGTTAATTTTCTTCTTATGTTTTCCTGCAGTCTGAGTGCCATGCTCCGGAGTGGGCAGGGACTTCTGTTCTCCTGCCTCTGGATCTCCCATCACCTCCTAACCCTCTGCTTCTCAGAACTGATGCTGTGGGCTCAGCCTCCCCATCTTCATGCATCCCTGTGTGATGGCTACTCTTGGTGGTCAGCTTGACCACCTCTGAATGAACTACAGTCCAGAAACAGAGGAAACACCTGTGAGAGGTTGTTTTTGCTTGGTTTGAAGCAGTGAATCCCCTTCCAGTCTGGACTTTTGAGGTAAGAAGACACACGCCTTTGATCCGGATCTAGAGATGGGAAGACACACTTTTAATCTGGGTCACACCTTCTGCTGGAAGTCTATATAAGGACATGGAAGAAGGAAGCTTTTGCTCTTTGCCTGCTTGCCCTCACCTTGCCAGCACATCTGTTCTTTGACGGGCATTGGACCTACTTCTTTATATATATACAGAAGGCCAGCTGAGACATCCACCCTTGTGGACTAAGCAACTTCTGGATTCTTGGACTTAGTGTTCACAGCCAGCCATTGTTGGATTAGCTGGGTTTTGGCCTTTAAGTCATTCCAATAAATCTCATACACACACACACACACACACACACACACACACACACACACACACACACACAGAGAGAGAGAGAGAGAGAGAGAGAGAGAGAGAGAGAGAGAGAGAGAGAGAGAGAGATTCATTCTTAAGTTCTGTTACTCTAGAGAACCCTGACTGACACATCCTGTCTCTTGGAGTCCATTTCCATCTAGTTAGAGAACAGATTCAATTATGCTCCTCTATCCCCGCCCCCCCCCCTGCCCCCGTCAGGAAGCCAAGGTTCAAGAAGAAGATAGAGAAGTGAGGGACTCCAAGGGGCAGCAAGAGGATGCAGGGAGTTCTGTTCACTGTGTGAATATATGTCACTATGATTGGTTTAATAAACAAGCTGACTGGCCAATGGCTGAACAGGATAAAGTTAGGCAGGAAAGCCAAACTGAGAATGATGGGATGAGGAAGGGTGAAGTCAGGGGAGTCGCCAGTCATTCGGAGAACCAGTCGGACACACAAAATGGGGAAGAGGTAAAAGGCTATGAGCCTCGGAGTGGGACACAGATTAATAGAAATGGGTTGAGTTGTGAGAGGTAGTGAGTAACAAGCCTGAGCTGTTGGCCAAGCATTTTTAAGTGAAAGGACCAAGCAGATGCCATAACAGACTGCTCAGTCTTCTCTCAGAGATCAGGCCTCAATTTTAGTTTCCTGAGACTTGAGCAAGCAGTTTCTGGGAGGGCCGTGAACAAAAGACATAGTCCTTGCAGTAGCTCCCTTTCTGCACATACTCTGACTGCTCAAGGTTCAGCCAGTTGTTTACTGTCTGGGACCCCTCACCAACTTAGAGCTACATGCATGAGTCAAGGACAGAGCCTGGGCCACTGAGTCAGCCCCCCCAGTCAGTACTGCGAGGTCAGCCAGCCCCACGGCAGCTCAAGGACAAAGCCAGGGACTTGTCCAGGCCTGCCTGAAAATGGATAACTGTAACCCCCAACTAACTCTAGCCAATTAAAAGTTACTAACATGGTTGCCACTAGCATAAACCAATCTTGAGTCTGTTCCTTTGTAGTCTGAGACCCCAAGCCCCCCTTACTTTAAAAACCCTGCCCCATTGCTACTCAGGGTCTCTCCTGCTCTGCTGCTGTGTCAGACAGACAGAGAGTCCTGAGTTAACGCGTAGTAAAAAGACTCTTTGCTTTTGCATTGCATTTGGTCTCTTGGTGGTCTTTGGGGGACTCTGGGTTCAACATAAGTAATCTTTTTGTTTGCTTGTTTGTCTTTTTTTTTTTTTTTTTTTTGGTTTTTCGAGACAGGGTTTCTCTGTGTAGCTTTGCGCCTCTCCTGGAACTCACTTGGTAGCCCAGGCTGGCCTCGAACTCACAGAGATCCGCCTGGCTCTGCCTCCCGAGTGCTGGGATTAAAGGCGTGCGCCACCACCGCCCGGCGCTTGTTTGTCTTTTGAGACAGGGTTCCTCTGTGTATTTTTTGGTGCCTTTCCTGGATCTCGCCCTATAGACCAGGCTGGCCTCGAACTCACAGAGATCCGCCTGGCTCTGCCTCCTGAGTGTTGGGATTAAAGGCGTGTGCCACCACCGCCCAGCTCAACATAAGTAATCTTAAATCTCCATGGTGGTTATTTGGGAGCAGATGGTCTGGACAGGGAAACTTCCACCTAGAGGGAGGCATATGCTGCTGACTGTAGCAGCAGAAAGAATGGGGGGGGGGGATTGTAATGGGGGAAAGGTAGGAGGAGAAGAAGGAACGTTAAAGTCCTCTTGATCAAGAAAATGAGCAGAAAACAAAACAACAGAACAGGGGGTTGGGGATTTAGCTCAGTGGTAGAGCGCTTGCCTAGCAAGCGCAAGGCCCTGGGTTAGGTCCTCAGCTCTGGAAAAAAAAAAAAAAAAGACAAAACAACAGAACAGAACAGAACCACCCATGCACAACGAAACAGGACAGGCATGAAGCAGGACAGGTGCAGAAACACGAAAGATAAGAGAGCTATAGCACTGGGGACGCAGCTCAGAAGCAAAGCATCGACTGTGGGTGTGGTCCCAGCACCAGGGGACAAGGTTGAGCAAACGTGGAGTCCAGCGAAGACAAAGGATGAGCACTAGCAGGCATCAATCACACTTAGGTTAGGGCATGAGGCCCCAGGAGGGGAGGCAGTGCCAAGCACGGTGTGACAGGGCATCAGTGACAGCAAGGAGCCCAGGAATGCGCTGCCCCCCTGCATCCTCCCCAACTCCAGGAGCGAAGGCCCTGTGTGTGCCATAGTGGTCACCAGCGTCTGATCGATATTTATGGGAGGTGACTCAGTCTCCAGCTAGAATAGGTGATTCTGGGTTCACTGACGGTGCCTTCCCCTCTGAGTTTTCTAGAAAGGATCTCCAGCGACCAGACCTAAAGGTCTCATAAATCTCCACACTCATCCTGGGTATAAAAGATTTGCCTGAGATAGCCCCAAAGGAGGCTCACTGCACCCAGGCTAGGCAGGCCCCAGGGAACCACACTTCTGGGAATCATCCTTTCGGCCTTTCTTGCCTCTGTCGCAGACTTGGGCATCTTTTTTTTTTTTTCTTTTAATTCATGTGCATTGGTGGTGTTTTGCCTGCATGTAGGTAAGTGTAAATTTGTCAGATCCCCTGGAACTGGAGTTACAGACTGTTGTGAGCTGCCGTGCTGGGAACTGAACCCGGGTCCTGGAGGAGCAGTCAGTGTTAACCGCTGAACCATCTCTCCAGCCCGACTTGGGCATTCTTAGCGGCCAAACTTTGCTTATCTTCTGGATGACCGGAGAGCTGCGATCTCTATGCTCTCCTCCTTAACAGTGGAGCACATGTGTGGGGGGGGTGGGGGGGGGAGCGGGGAACATCTAGGCAAACAAGGAACACCTCGTGAACTGGGGGAATCAGACATTCCTTCTCTGACACTAACACAGTGGGTCTGGACCGCAGACTCAGAGTTTCCCTGAAGAGGGGGTAGGAAGCCATTGATGAGGGTGAAGTCTTAGCTGCAGTGGAGACCCAAGCATGTGGAGGTGGGCTGGGTGGAGGGGGGCTGGGTGTTGGGGGAGGTGGCCCACGATCAGCTCAGGAAGTAGCTACCCTCTGTGGTCCAGATCCTCTGTGTCAGTGAAGGAGCAGGATGCAGCCCTGTCTGATTTCCCCAGACATGTGTTTGAAATGTGTTGATTGCTCAGGTGTGACTCTCAGTGACATGCTGCAATGACAAGATTATCCACAAGACGTGGGCAGTCTCCACTGGGCGGGGAGGACTACCCACATCTGTACTAGAGGCAATAGGAAAGGCTTTAGGATGAGTCCTGGAAACACACATCTCTCTGTCTCTCTCTTTTTGGGGGAGGGTGCGTTTTTTGAGACAGGGTTTCTCTATATAGCCCTGGCTGTCCTAAAACTAGTTCTGTAGACCAGGCAGGCCTAGAACTCACAGAGATCAGCCTGCCTCTGCCTCCTGAGTGCTGGGATTAAAGGCGTGCGCCACCACCACCTGGTGAAACATGTATCTCTTAAACCAGCCTGGCCCGGACGGAGAGAGCCTCCCTCCAGGGCCATCTCTGGTGGCTGCTCTGTAGCCATCACTGGTGAATTCTAACCAGTCTCCAGTGTAGAAGATGGTTCACACAGGGGAATCATCTCTCAATACTTCTAAGCAAGTCATCCTTGACGATCCTCACACAGGTAGCACAAGGGTTGAAAGGAAATCTAGAGACCCCAGAAGATCCTCTCCAGCCCATTTGATCACTGAGGACCAGATCCTCAACTGGCTTTGGCCTTACAAAATGAAAATGATTAACCGTGGCCACCTGTGTGGTGTCAACTACGCAACAGGGAAGATGTCACTGAAGGCTGAAAGGATTGGCCTGTTTCCTTTACAGATCGTACTCCTCAGACCTCAGACTCAAATCCACGTGAGATTTATACAACCGTTTCCCACCAGTGGCCTTAAGACTTCAGGCCACAGCACACTGTAGCTCCTACCTCAGCCACGAGAGACAGACGAGCCTACTGTAGTTTGAACCTCAAAATGAAATGACCGCTTGCGAGTTTCTTTCCCTCCCTCTCTAGAAGTTGGGGAGGGAATGCGCGCTGACCCCAGTCACTCCAACTGCTGTTGAAGTCCCTGCAAGCACATCTCCCTCACACCTCTCTTCCAGGCTCCAGTCGAGGACTTCCTTTCTGCTGACATCTGGCTAGATGTCAGACAGAACAACGGATGCACTTTTAGGGTCTTTTAGATGAGCCCAGTGCTGGGTATCCTGACTGCCACACCCAACACCCGCCCGCCCTCAGTGGGTAGAAACCACACCAGTTATCCCTGTTTCTCATGACAGTTAACCTAATTTAGGGGATGGCATGATAGAAGCAGGAGGTAAAACTGGCTAGTAAGTTTAGGTTAAAAAGCTTCCCAAACTGTTGGGTGGTTGTGATGCACACACCTTTATTCCTAGCACTTGGGAGGCAGAAGCAGGCAGATCTCTGAGTTCGAGGCCAGCCTGGTCTACAGAGCAAGTTTGAGGACAGCCAGGGCTACACAGAGAAACCCTGTCTTGAAAACAAAAACAAAACAACAAGAAAGCCCCCCAAGATAGTAGCCAGATGCTTCCTTGGCAGAGAGCATGAAATGACCACAGACTTCAAATCAACCTCATCCTTGCCAGAGGTCAGATTCCCACAAGTATTTAGGGGGCTCTGATTGTGGATCTGGTTCCTAAGCGATTCTAAGGTTGGCTCTTCAGACAAGAGGATGTTAGAATAGAAGTCAAGGAATGTTAAGAGAAAACTCTTTCTGGTCAAGAGAACAGACCCTGTGGCCTGGGTGGAGATCCTGCATTCCATTTGGGGCAGGTCATTCTCCTGGAATCAGAATCAACTGAAGGATGGCAGACTCATCTTAAGCTATGTTAAAAAGATATGAGATGTACAGCTTGACCAGTGCAATTTGTATCTATTTTAATATCTGTCAAAATTGACTTTAAATCAATGCAAATCAGAAAAGATAGGCAAGGACAGTATATACTCATTAAAGGAAAAATTCACCGAGAAGATATTACAAATGTAAACATTTATGCATCAAATACAAGAGCACTAAAAGAAACAGGACTACATCTAAAATCACTTACCAAGGCATTGTCCCACGTTGAGTTTCCGCCATGGCTTCCCTCAATGATGGAATGTGAAATAGATCCATTACTCCCCCCAAGTTCTTTTTGGTCAGAGTTTCCCTGAAGAGAGGCCAGGAAGCCATTGATGAGGGTGAAGTCTCAGCTGCAATGGAG